CTTGCAAACTACTTTTTTCTTAATAGTAATTATACGCTTAATTTTCATGATTAAATTCTGAAGAGTTAATCAAAACATTATTCTAAATATTTAATTGCTATTTGCTAAACAAATTTGCTAAGTAGGCTGTGACAGTTTGAGGTGAAAATAGTATTATTGCACAAAGCTATCCTGCCTTTGCCCTGACAGTTCATTAGCAAAAGGATGATATTACAGAAGTTGAACTGATTGTTAGTGAATAACTTTTATTCATAGCTGTGTGTATGTGTTTGTATGTCTGTTTATATATATGATTTTTCACATTTTTTTCAGTACTTGGTTTTGTGGGATAAGGCATTATAGATTTGTTATTTACCTTGGGACCTTATTATCTGTATCCAGCTGCTCTTGTTCCTTTTCCTCAGAAACCCCAAATCTACCCACCTGTCCTAGCTGTTTTTTCTGTCATGCTTGTGGTTTACATGAAAGTAGCTAAGCTTTGGATGACTTGTAGTATATGAAGTTCTGTGCTGATCACGATGATGAATTGGACTGCCTCTAGTCCTTTATTTCAGATAGGGAGTGAGGATGAGGAGGATGTGATTTATGTGCATCAGCATGGATTTACCTCATGAATCCAAATTACACACTTCCTCACTAGATGGCAGCAAAGTTTAAAATGGACTAAATTCAGATTCTGAGACAAGCTCTAGAAAACTGTAAACTACTAAAAAGCTACTTGAAAAAGAGCATTCTTATTTACTATATACCATACAACAAAAGAGCCTGAATTTGTGCAAGCAGAATTAAAGTCTTTAGTAACCCATGTTTTTTAAGAGTTTTTTTCTCTGATATTTTTTTAAAGACAAGTAATTTTAAGTAATTCACCAATTAAAGAATAATTTGTTTTAAAATATAAAGCGATTTCTCATTTTGTTGGTTTGAGAAGTCCTTTAACTTACATTTATTTCCTGGATCTTGAGGTGTCAGACTTGTACTTTTCACGAAGACCTTCTCGAAGTTGGATTGTCTTATTTTTTGAAACTAAATGATTGAGTCTTTTACTGGGAATTAAAAAAAGGTGATTGTCTTTCAGGTGGAAGCTCTCCAGGGCTATCGAGTGATTGACATAGCCTGTGGCAGTGGAGATGCGCAGACTCTGTGCCTCACTGATGATGATACAGTGTGGTCCTGGGGTGATGGAGACTATGGAAAACTTGGAAGAGGAGGCAGTGATGGCTGTAAAGTACCAATGAAGGTATTTGGAACTGTTTTTTGTTTAATTTTTTAGATCTGTGATGTTAGTGGAGAAGCCTGAAGAGCGATTTGTTAGTATGTGCAAACTTCCACTCATCTTAGGATATCTGGATTCTCCTGATTGTTGCTAAGAGTGAACTTTGTAGAATAAAATGACAGGTCTTGAATTTTGTGCTCACTGATAAAGTTGCACTTCCACATTTTCTCTGGGTATAACATTGCTGGTTCCAGGAAAACTTCTCGTTTTGATTTTGCTGACTCTCAAAACAGTCTATTTCTCCCAACAACTCTTCATATTTCCTTGTGGTAATAAACTTGCATACAGCTGAAATCGTAGCTTCGTTCCAGATAGGGTCACCAATGTTGCTTTATATTAAACTATTTCAGCCGAATGCTTGTTTTACTTTGAATTTCTCCATACATTAACAGTGAAATCCATGTAGCCATCTGATATAAATCAATAAAAAACACACTTAGTAACAATGTTGCCATTTTGAAAAATGTGTAGTTGTCTCACTGTATATACCACTGACCAATGAATTTTAGATTCTTAGTCCAAGATGAAATCTGATTACCTGGATACAGCTATCCCCGTTCTCATTCCTAAAGGTTGGAGTCCACCAGCCTGTCCCAAATAAGAGTGTTTTATTGCATCATGTGACTCGATATGAAAACAGTTGCTTTATTTTAAACTTCATTAATCTCATATAGGATAAGGAAAAAAAGGGCAAATACTGAGTAACTAAAAGGAAAAACATACTAGAGAGGATCATCAATGGTTTGATGAATCTGAGCTTTTAATGTTTAACAAGAAAATGGTAGAAAGGTTAATGGAGAGGAATTATGCTGAATGATCTGCATATACATTTTTTGTTAATAAATATAGTCACTCACTTGCACATTACTTTTTCTTTAAGTCATACCTAGGATGTTGTGGTCTATGAACCTCAGGACAGCTAAATTTTGACTTCATTTGGTATTATTTTCCTAGATTGATTCTCTTACTGGGCTTGGAGTGGTTAAAGTAGAATGTGGATCGCAATTTTCTGTGGCTCTTACCAAATCTGGAGCAGTGTATACCTGGTAAGCATTTTGTATTAGTTGTGTTTACAATAGTACATGTAATTCTGTCTGTGATAGATACTAGTGTTTTTCTGTCTTCACTGTTTCAGTCTCCCCCCATGTCAAAAATGTTTTAGGAGTTCCTCTGTCTTGGTTAATAATAAAATCTACTGTTCTGTGGAGTTTTTTATATTGCTTTTTGAGGGAAAAGACCAAGTATTTAGTCTTGGAGAACTAAATCCAGAGATGTCATTCCACGCACTGACTACTGCAAGATGCAAAAGTAAAAGTTTAACTCTGAAGTGTCATGTGGTATGGAAGAAAGCAGCATAAATGTGTCATATATTTAAAAAGAAAAATAAAGCAAAACAAAAAGACACCTCAACCTGCCAAATTGTGATGGCAGTAGTCCTAGGCTTTTGACCTTAGTTCATTGTTTGAATCTTTCTGTACAGTTCTAATTTTTGTAGTTTAAACTATCAGATTTGAGTGCTTAAAATGCAAAAAAATAAAAAACTTCCCCCAAATTTCCCTCCACCTTACTTCCGATAACATTAGAGATGTCTTTAAACTGTATATCGTTTCAGTTCCAGTTTCCAAGGTCAGTAAACATACTCTTTTTGCAGTTGAATATCTCTAATCCTTGATCATTTTAAGAGGACAAAAAAAAAAATGCTTGCGAAGGTGATAAAAAGACCTGCACTGCATGAGTACTACCAATGTATGACAGTCAGAGTTGCATGATTGTGTTACCTGGCTATATATGTTATATATATTTCACATTAACAGCTTAAGTTTTTTATGGTGTCAGCAAAATCACACCTATGTTATGTAAGCTAAGGATGATTAATACTGAGGTTTTGGAGGCAGAGCCATACTTTTTCCACTAAATATCAAATATTTTTGTGATCGGACTGTTCGTTATTACAGCTACCAGTAAAGTACCACATACTCCTTGTCCTCCCATTCTTCTAAGAGTCAGAACTGTTTTGAAACGTTGTATCTCCTTTGTGCAGGGGCAAAGGAGATTATCATCGGTTAGGCCACGGATCTGATGACCATGTGAGAAGACCACGACAAGTGCAGGGACTGCAAGGAAAGAAAGTCATTGCAATTGCTACTGGGTCTTTACACTGTGTTTGCTGCACTGAGGATGGTATAAAGAACAAATTCATTACTACTTAATATTGAATTTGGGAAAAAAAAAAAAAAAACCTTTTTCAGTCAGCTCTGGTAGGAGGTATTTGCAAAAAACGCTGGTCCCCTGTGTGTGTGGGCATGCTTTGTGTTTACAGTTGTTGCTTATTTCTTGATTGAAAATGAGTGCATAGACCCAGCTAAAGATTTTAAGTTACTTGACTAAAAAAATAGAGAACTAAGCTTTATAAGCTCTAATGGTCTAAAGAAAATGCAGAGCAGTAGTTACAAATTGGCCAAGCACTTGAATGAAAGCACTTAGGATGTTTGGTTGTTTTGAAGAGGGTCTCCTGAACCCGCTGAGGTGTTTAACTTGGTAAATGAAGCGTGATGCAAACTATGGTTTCTTACAGAGCAGCTTGATGTACTGAATAGTCCTTGTCAGAAACTCATGCTCCTATTTAATTAACCAGTCTACACAATAAAGGCTTTATAGATGCTCGTGAAATGGGATGTAGCTGCACAAAATGAATGCTTAGAAACAAGGTTGCTATCATAAAAAGTAGTTTCCAATTATCTTGCAACAGTAAGCACCCATTTTAATGTCCTCTATAGTAATACAACATATTACTTTTTTTTTTAAACTTCTGATACAGAGGTTTAAATCTTCTCGTGTTCTTTTTTAAAACATCAGCTATTTGGGCTATGGAACTAATAAATACAGACTCTTTCTGGTATATTTCTCGTATTTATTCTTATACTCTCATCATTTCTTCCTTTTCTTGTACAAAACTTTAAATGATTGTGCAAGCTATGAGGAAATAATTGTACCTCATAATATCTGGTGTATGGACATTCAGATTGTCATCCGAACTCTGACATTCAAGTTTTACTACGTAGTGGATTTCAGAGTTACAGGTAGACCTAGAAATCTTGATTATAAAACAAGAGCTCTTTGCTTTAAGTGATTTGTAAACATTTATAAAAAACCACAGGCTCTATCTTAGCTTTGGAAGAAGTAATTATTTTTATTGTTTCAGGGGAAGTGTATACATGGGGGGATAATGATGAAGGACAGCTTGGAGATGGAACAACTAATGCTATCCAGAGACCACGCTTGGTTGCAGCACTTCAGGGTAAAAAGATCAACAGAGTAGCCTGTGGCTCAGCTCACACTTTAGCTTGGTCAACCAGCAAACCTGCTAATGCTGGCAAGCTCCCTACACAGGTAATATTTTGGCTTATTACATACAGATTTTAAACGAATTTAGTATGTTATCAATCTTTCAGTAAGTGCACTTTTCTTCATATGAATGAACGTTCTTCATTCATAACCAAACCCAATTCTAAACTGTAAACTTAGTTTGCAGATCAAAAGGAATGTGAGTGCCGTCTTGCAACCATGAAAGTCTCAGCCTTCTAAGTGGGTTCTTTATTGCTTGTTTTTGTTTTAAGAGATGACTTTTTGAATATTCAGTTTCTCACTTTTTAAATATTTTGGTGTCGATCATGGGGCATAATGCTTGGGTAGGTGATGACAGGATGTAAAAATCTGTATGACAATCACCTACAGGAAATACCCATCATTTCATTGAGAAACAGACTTCTGCTGTTGCATCACATTTCTGAGCTCTTCTGTCCTTGCATTCCAATGTTTGATCTTGAAGGACGACTTGATGAAACTGGCCAAGGACCCTCAGTTGGATTTGACACCTTACGGGGAATATTGATATCCCAGGGGAAGGTATTTATCAAAATATGCTTTACTAGCATTTTGTGTTATAGTGGGAAGGAAGTTGCTTAAGGAATAAACTGCAGAATTTGTTACTCTTATAGAATCTCAGTCTTTTTCTTGTGTTGGACTAGATACATATTTATTTATGAAATACGTTCAGCTTTCTTATTTGATTGCAGTTTTTTTTCATTGCCTTTGATTGCCTTTGTTCTTTTGTGTTGTCCATTTTCAGGAGGCAGCTTTCAGAAAAGTTGTGCAAGCAACTATGGTGAGAGATCGTCAGCATGGGCCAGTTGTGGAGCTCAACAGAATACAGGTAGCTTAAGCTAAAGTTTTGAGTGTAGTCTGTATGTTTAGCCCCCAGTGCCCTACATTTCAACTCTCTGGGCATCTGAGTGCTGAAGAGCTGTGTTTATATCGGAGAACCAGAAAATATAAGGCAGCAAGGGCTGTTCATTTTCTTTTCAGTACATTTTTGTCTACAACTTTTTGAGGGCAAAGGGACACTTTCTGAAAAGTTAAATATACTATTTAGCATAGCCGTGCTATTTAACATGAGCCAAATATGTCTGGCTTGACAAAGGACTGCTTTTTGAAAGCACACTATTACATTATTTGAGGGAGTGGTGGTTCTGATGTCTTTCCTACCTTCCAAAATGATCACATGGATTTTTTAGCTGTTGCTTTCGTAACAGAGAACATTAAAAAAAAAATGCCCTTGAAGGTAATTAGAATCAGGATGATAAACTCTTGTCCTGTGCTGATCATTACATGTGGTCATATGGATCATGGAATTGTTTTTATATGAAAGGGCTTTTTTTCCTCTAATCATTGATGTTTGAAAATGTAATGTCACGCCTTAGGCTAGATAAGTCTTTTTCCATAAGTATTTCTGAAACATTGAATAGTAAAACATTGTTTTCATTTAAGCAGACTGAAGCTTGCGTTTCCTCATGCATTTCTTTCCTTTAGTGTTCTATTTATTTATTTATTCATTTATTTATTTATTATTTTACCATATAGTAAAAAGTAAGAAAAGCTACTCTTTGTAAGTTTAGAATACAAAAACTGGAAATTGTGGCTAATTAGTTAAAGTTGACTTAACTGAAATACATTCTGTTTGGACTGGACCCTCTCTTACATTCCTTTGCCTTTTTTTATGGGTACTTAAAAATTGTCATGTTATGTGATTGAAGTGACTTGTTTTACTTTATTACCTAGGAAGTGGAAACTGAAGAGGTGTCAGATACTTTCCATTTTTTACTTGTGAATTCAGAAGATCCAATAAGCAATGCAAATATTTAACTTTGAGTAGAAAGTGAAGTAATAAGTTTCACTTATTTCCTAACACTTTGTTTCACCTTTGAGTTAATTAGTAAAGGTGGGCTTCTGTATTCCAGTTCCTTACCTTATTCTCTTTAAATCCAGAAAAAGAAGTGGCAGATGTAGGGCTTCTCTTTTTCATAGTTTTTGTGGAAGTGAAATATTGCTGCAACTCAGGTATGTTGTTAGTTTCTTCTAGTATAAAAAAAAGAGATGGTGTTCAGCATCTAACCTTAACACAGTGCCAGGTGCGGACCACGATTTCATGTTTGAGTTAGCTTGAGTTGGCTTTTGCAGAAATCTTTTGTTATTTAAGTAAACTTTAAAAGCTGCGTTATATAGTCTTTGTAGCCTGATTTTGTTTAACTTCAGGCAGTCTTTAGATTCAGAAAATTTGTGTCTTTACGTATTACATTCTGCAGTCAGTTCATTTTTTCTTCTTTAGTATAAAATCAGTAGTTTAATTTTTCATTTAATTTTTTTTTCAGATTTTGACTTGTTCTTGAAACTATTTCCTGAAGTTACGTTGTTATTCAGTGATCTGTTTGAATGTAAATAGCTGAAACATGAAGGCATAGATGTGGCCCCATCCATGCTTTTGTAATTATTGCACTGATATTTCTTTGCTTCTTTTGTAGAGCTGTTTCCTGATTTATCCTTGAATTGCATTTGGTTTCTTCATAGATAGAGTTTTTTTTGTTAACAACACATTTTTCTCTTCCTTGATTACAACTGATAAGCTCTTATCTCTCAGAAATCACAATATACTAGTTTTGAAGTACATGACTTTACAATACAGCACTACATTTCTTCCTTTTATTGCACTTAGGTGGGAAGAAATGGATAAGCTTATCATCCAGACATTTATGTATCTTTGTGTATCCAGTCCTTCCTCCCCCCTCTCCCCATTTTGCATTTGGGTGTTTCCCTCGTGTCATTAACAGACTTGGACATTTTGCATCATTCAGTGAATATTCCAGGTACTGAATGAGGTTAGTCTTCAGAGCAGTTGTTGGGACTTTTTTGCTGAGGACTACCCTCCTTCAGTGTAATTGTTGTTCTTTCCCTCTGGGCCAGTTAATATCACTTCATGAGAAGATACCGTTCTTTTAGAGCACTACTACTGCTACCTTCTCGTTTTTCTGTTTGTGCATTTCTTCTCTGTTTCCTGGGAGTGAATCTTACTCTCTCTCTCTCTCTTTTTTTTTTTTTCTTTCCAGTCTTCTGAGATGATTGAGTAGCTTAATAGTAGCGTGAATGGTGTTGTTTGTCTTTTATCTTTGATACTCTATTGAGATAAATATGAAATGGCACATTTAAGCTGATGTTTCAGGTTTCATACAAGCACAGATACTGTGGAAACAGCTTTTCATGCTGCTGAAAACTGAAATTTAATAAAAACCCTCCCATTACATATCCACAGGAAAGCAAGACTTCTTTTGCTTTTAGAAAAGGGATCTCACGGGATGGCCAGCAGTTCTGTGGGTGCTCTGTTGTGAGGCTGAGATCTAAGTCTAAGGTTCTGTTTTTCAGCTTTGTAGAAATCATGGTCTTTAGAACATTTAGATGCAAAGATAACCAGATTACAGATTGATTTGAGTTTCGTTCCTCTTCTGCTGGAATGGTTCTGCTCACAGCAAGTGATTTCTGTATTTACAGAGGCAGCTTCTTGAGCTTGTCTCCCACAAGGAGTGCAGCTCTTGAGCTGCTGCGGTTCTCTCTGATCAAGAAAAAGTTTGCTTTCCACAATATGGTATCATCTGATAGCAAATTGCTGTATAAAAATCCTTCTCTGTCTCTAATCATCATATTAGCCTTGTTTTATGCTAAAAAAAAATGTATTTTAGCAGCAATAAAGCTGGACGTGTATTTTAAATTTTAAGATATTGCATAGCCTAAGTGTGTTTAGGGAAACATGTGTTAAATGAGCTATATCCGTCCCTGTTTAACCTATTCACTAAATAGATCTAAAAGGTACTTATATCTCTCAAGGAGATGGCTCAGAGACATGAGCAAGGCAGACATCTGCAATACAAAGCCAGAACACCTGTGTTGGAACTGTGGCATGCGTGAATTTGGTTTGTGTTTTGTCCTTTTTTTTTTTAAATGAACAGTTTTGCTGTATGCCTTTCTCACCATGGCAACATATGAAAGTGCTGGCAGAAATGCCAATAATCCGGGACAACATTCTTACATGGCTTTGTTAGAAGCAAAATCCTAACCATTCCTACAGTTAAATGATCAGATTGAATGAAAATACTGTGTTGCTAGTGAATAAATACAAACTGAATGTATGGTAGTAGTAAATGTGCACGCCTTCCTGGTCAGTTCAGGCAGGGTTGCTTGCCATTTTAATCTTTGAACAACACTTGGTTTTGTTGCGTATTGGTTTGGCAGTTTTGTCTTTTGATGATTTATTTGCATGTGAGATTTGAAGCTTGTCCCACACAACTTCTTTTCATGCTTTTCTTTTTATAAGGAAAAAAAAAACAATTTCAATGATTTCTCTATTTAAAGTGAATTAGGCATCCAAATTTTTCCCTTTTTTTTTTTTTTTTTTTCAAATTGCTAGAAATTCATTGGATTAAAGCTATCTTTTATTGATACAGAATCTCCTGAGCATGGGAAGGACTTGTATGTCAGCCTTCCAAGAAAATCCAAACATAGTCTGGTGGATATCGTCCTTTTAAGGCTGTAGGATCAGAACAAGTTGATTTTGAGGCATACGTTGGAGTGGGACCTAAGTGGGATGGTCCTGGGATATTTCAGTGTGAATGTATGGGCAACCTGCATGTGAGTGTCTTTACAGTCAGGGCAGGCTGAGGCTGTGACTTGCAGATGATTAAGGCAAATGAAAAGGCTTCCCTGGCCCTCGGTTTACTTTTACGTTTCTTTCCTCTCTGTAATGTTCAAGTGCTCTTTATGTGCTTGCTCGCTTCATGTTTATCTCCTGCAGCAAAATATATATATATTTTTTCTTTTTAATTGCATGACATTTCTTCCGGTTCTTCTTACGTTTTTTTTTTCTCTGTGAGTGCTTAAGAAGCATTATACATATGTGTGCATTTTAGTAATACTTAGTCACTTTTAGAGAGTTTTATTAAATATCATAGATGTCTATTTAAATATCTTGAAATAATATAGGAAAAATTCTTGTTCAGACTTCTGGCCAGCAATGCAGCTTGTGCTCTGTGTAACGTATGAAAGCCATATCCAGATTTGACAACTGAATGTATGAGGAGAGACAGGATGCATGAACGAGGTGGATTACAATCTAGAACAACCAAACTGATCAAAATCTTTGCTGCAGCTCAATAAAAAGTGGAAGAAGGCATCCTTTTATCAACAGAATTTTATCATTCATGCCCCTCTAACTTTCCATTTACTTTAAGGATGAACAGAACAGATAAAAAGTTGAGTAGGGATAGAAACAATGAACTGTAAAATTAAGGACGAAAAACATATTGGTAGAGGGGAAACATAAATTTCGTGCCTACGTAAGAAGGCCAGCAGGGCTGTAAACAGAACTAGTAAGGAATATTGTGTCCAGCTGGAATTAACTTACTTTTTTTTGCATAAATTACGGCTCTACCAAAATTACTGAAGAGACTAGTCAACTCAATTTCATTTAAAAAAAAAAAATCCTCATCATTGTGAGTTGCATTTGAAATGGGATTGTCTCGAGTAGCTACAACAATCTCAGGTCATTGAAATCATCTCGAACAACCATTCGATGTCAGGACAGTTCAGGATGTGTGGCCCAGCATCTAGATCCTGTGCTTTCTCTGATCGTGCCAGTCCAGGCATTAGTTGTAATTTTTCTTCTATTATGTAGGTCCTGGAATTTGCACTGTTCATAGGTGATGATAATCTTAGTAATCACTGATAGTTGGCTAACGAGCTATGTCCCAGAGGTGGTAACAGTTGCAGAAGCTGGAGAGCAGCCCATCCTGTCTTTTTCTCCTTAATGTGTAGGTATATCTTGCTTTCAGGTCAGAAGCAATCGGGCTCCTTACAGCCTGAGACTGCAAGTGCGCAGGGGGTCAAGATACGTAGTAGGACATGCCATATCTATATCCAGGGATGGATATCAGGTGGTAGTGGAAAATATTGCAGTGCAATAATGTTAGGTTGCCATAATTCAATATTAGGTTCTTCTACGGTATATGCTACTTAGATGCAAGGCAGTGTGTGGAACTCTGGAAGCACTTCATTAGCTGCACTAATATTTTGATGAACACTAATATTATGATCTGATTTGCAAATGAATGACAACTGAAATATGTCCTTATCATGACTTGCATGACACATCCATTTGATAGGTAAAACGCTCCAGGAGTAAAGGAGGACTGGCTGGGCCTGATGGTACAAAGTCAGTTTTTGGGCAGATGTGTGCGAAAATGAGTTCCTTCAGCCCTGACAGCCTTCTGCTACCTCATCGGGTTTGGAAAGTCAAGTTCGTTGGTAAGAATTCTTACTTCCCACCTATTTAGCATTTAACTTCACTTTTTTTTTCTTTTTTTCTTTCTTTTTTTTTCTTTTTTTTCCCCTTAAAATGGTAAGTAATAAAAAGACCTTTTAAAATGATTTTAAAAAAATCTCAACGTCAGTTGAAGTGTGTCTGCAGTTGTCCTTAAATTCCAAAGGCATCCACTTCGCTAGTAGTGAATACTCTCCAAACCTAAACTTGCTTATTCAGGTATCAAATTTAATAGATAATCCTGTCTAACTTTGCTTGAGTTGTTTTTACTATTTGTATGTCACCTTGAGCTTTCTGATGAAAAATAACAGCCACTGCATCTACTCTGTGTGTACATATGTGGTATGTATTTAGAACTATATCTAAATCCAGGTTTATCAGTTTAAGATGTCACTTAGGAATCACATGTTGCCTGGGCTCTCTTTTCCTCATAAAGTGTTATTTATGCTCTGGCAAAATATTTTTGAAACTGTTCTATTTCAATAATTTTATAGCTAATATGATTTTTGCAAGGAACAGGAAATCCCCTAGTCTGCAAGGAAAACATAAAGATATTTTCATGTGAAGGGATGTGACAGTTTAGCTTCAAGCACATTTCTGTTTAACCACTCATCCTTATAGAAGGAAATGCAGTTTATTTCAAAACTTCATTTAGAAAAGTGTTTTTGAAATGGTGTTCAAATTGTAATCATTTTTTTTTCCTCTTTTCCAAGGTGAATCCGTGGATGATTGTGGTGGAGGTTACAGCGAATCAATTGCAGAAATGTGTGAGGAGCTGCAGAATGGGCTGACCCCTCTGTTAATTGTGACACCAAATGGAAGAGATGAATCTGGAGCTAACAGAGATTGCTTCCTATTAAATCCTGCTGCCAAGTCTGTCTTGCACATGAACATGTTTCGTTTTCTGGGTAACTTCTTAGCAGCAGTGTGATGTTCTACTTGTGTTACATGAGCAGGAGATTGTGAATCTTTAGAAAAATACATGTGTTTAAATTTGCAGGTGTACTGTTGGGCATTGCTATCCGGACCGGGAGCCCTCTGAGTCTCAACCTGGCTGAACCAGTATGGAAACAGCTTGCAGGAATGAACCTGACAATTGCTGATCTCAGTGAAGTAAGCATGATGTTTCTGCATAGGGATATAACTTAGAGAGGACAAGCAGACACTAGAATGATATTTTTCTTGGGTGATTGGCTTCTCTGCTGTCTACATGGTTATAGAATTTTGACTGTCTTTTTGCATTTTGAGCTAGCATGAAAGGATTGCTTGTACTCACTGTTAAATTTAAAGTCTTTTAATAGTAGTTAAACAAACTGAATTGAAGAGCACTTAAATCTGCTCATGAGTTTGACTAGGTTAATATGTGTGGCCCAACTCCTTGCCAGTAAGCCTTTCTGTAGCTGTTCCTGTCTGTCTTGCTAAGATGCAGAAACTGACTGGACACAGAAACCTACACTGTTTTAAAGCGAAGGAAAATGAATTCAGTCCAAACTACTACAGGAAATGGCTTTTGCCTGTATAATAATAAAATCATAAGCTTTCAGTTTCTGTTTATTGAACTTGGCTAAGGGAGATTAGCAGGTCTTTGTCACAGAGATTTGCTTTTCAACTACTGTCATCTAGAAATGTACTTACTGTAACGGCATTGAGTCATTTACTTGTCAAGAAAGTCATTCCTTTTGAACCAAAACTAGCTTTTGGAATACATAGGGGTGATTATGTTTTTAAGCTTTAAATCCATTTTCTTATGTAATAGTTTCTTGGCAGATGTTACCCTAAAAAACTGGAAAATAGAACACGTCTCCTCCTACTCTCCAGAATAATGTGATTTTGTGCGAAATACTGAGTCATTCTATTGCTTTGCAATTCAGTTAGGTGGGTTGTGGTCAGGCATTTGACGCTTTGGCTTTAGCAGATGGCACACGATGCAGTGCTCTAGGAATGAAATAGACATGTTGTAATAAAGCAAATAATCTGATCTTAACTCAGAGTTGGATTTTTTTTCAATAGGTTGATAAAGATTTTATTCCTGGGCTTATGTACATTCGAGACAACGAAGCTACTTCAGAAGAATTTGAAGCTATGAGCCTGCCATTCACTGTGCCTAATGCAAGTGGTCAAGACATTCAGCTGAGCTCCAAGTACACTCATATCACACTGGATAATAGAGCTGAATATGTGAGGCTGGCAATAAACTACAGGTTTGTTTAATAAGTCAAATTATTCAAATGAATAATCATTACCTTTTTTTAAGAAAATGAAAACATAAACAATGTTTCTTTAACATCCAGTGTGCATGTATTTAAATATTTTATGTGATTATGGTTGGATTTTCTGATCTCTTTATATCTGCTGAAGGATAAAATGTTAACCATACTTTTTAGGAAATATTTTTTTAAACTTGGGAAATAAATTAGTAGGCATGACCCTAAATTTTAATAGGGAGCATGGAGGGGTTGCATCGATACAGTGATAAGTATTAGGTCAAGTAATTGCTAGAAATGGTGCTCGCAGAAACTTGAACGTATTGGGAATGTTTCTCTGCAGACTTCATGAATTTGACGACCAAGTGGCCGCGGTTCGTGAGGGCATGGCCCGCGTCGTCCCCGTTCCTCTGCTTTCGCTCTTCACCGGATACGAACTGGAAACCATGGTATCAGCTTCTGCTTTGCTACCTCTGGCGGGCTGAGAGCGTTGCTTCACTCTTACTGATCTAAAGTCCACATTTTAGTACTGTTTACAGTGCTCACTTTTTAATTGCAAATGTTTTGGCCAAATGAAGACTAGAAAATGTCTTACTTCCCTGTTGGAATTAAACAGGTTACTTTGTTATACATAGGTTACTTTGGTATAATTGAGCAGGGACTTAATAATTTTTGTAAGTAGAACTATTACCTTTTGATCTGGCAGCATACTGGTGTAAGGTCGTAAGCAGTATTCATAGCTCTGCATTGTTAAAGGTGGATTGGATATGCACTTCTCATGAAATATGTGCTTCAGGGATAGATAAGGAGGTTATTTTTTGCCCCGCGATGGGAAGATGTTCGATGGAACAAATCACCTGTAATTGATCGGTTCTTCCTAGTTATTTTAAAAATTATTTTAAAATTATTTTTCAGGTCTGTGGAAGCCCAGATATTCCACTTCACCTTCTGAAATCCGTAGCAACATATAAAGGCATCGAACCAACAGCTTCCTTGATACAGTGGTTCTGGGAGGTGATGGAATCCTTCTCCAACACGGAACGCTCGCTCTTCCTGCGTTTTGTGTGGGGCAGGACAAGGTTGCCCAGGACTATTGCGGACTTCAGAGGGAGAGACTTTGTTATTCAGGTAAACAGAGGGGATGTGGGAGCTATATTCAAATAACTAGCAGTCAAGGGGTGGTAGCATGTCGTATAAGAGAACAGGCTGATTTCACTGAAATTTCAATGTCAGATTTCACTGTATATTTGACAGTGCAACAGAGACCAATAATGTGCATGAATATTTCTCTTTTGTTTTGGTTCTGTGTATTTGTGTTTCACAAGTGGATATTCTCTTTATTAAGATTCCCAACTGTTTACTTTGGTAGCTGTCATCAGTTGTTTTGGCTGGCATTTATTTAGCATTTCATTTAGTTCTACAGTCATTTCAGCTAACTTCATAAACAAAATTTTAATTTGAAGTCATTATTCGGTGTTGTTGATGTATTACTTTTTTAAAAATCCTTCTCAGCCATATATTTATAATCAAAGAAGTTCATGTTTTGCTTTTCTATTTAGTGTAAGGCAAATGGATTTTTTTAATTTTCTTTTAAGAAGTGGTAGCATCAGAATAACAAATGTAACATTCTGTTCAAAAAACATCAAACATATCAGCTCAATATTTTAACAAATGTAACATTCTGTTCAAAAAAAACATATCATCTCAATATTCATTTGGACAGTGCATGAGAAATATTGTGCTTCTTGGTTTTGGCAGGTGTTGGATAAATACAATCCTCCAGACCACTTCCTTCCCGAGTCGTACACTTGCTTCTTTCTGCTGAAGCTGCCCAGATATTCCTGTAAGCAAGTGCTAGAGGAAAAACTGAAGTATGCCATTCACTTCTGCAAGTCCATTGACACGGATGATTATGCCCGGATAGCACTGACGGGAGAGCCGGCTGCGGATGACAGCAGCGATGACTCTGATAACGAAGATGCCGATTCTTTTGCTTCAGATTCTACCCAGGACTACTTAACAGGGCATTAAGAGCATAAGATGAAAGAGAGTTGTCACAAGCACTGAGGCAAAATGCCAAAATGACAATGAAGCCAAGGACAGTTTATAGTTCAGAATATAGAATATGTACAGCCAGAGTTATGCTAATCTGTTGACATGGGGAAAGTGTGTTTGCTACTCACAGTAGGAACTAAAGGGTACAGCTTAAATCATCAGCTTAGAATAAATGGCACGGTATGTGGGCATTTAACATTTATTTTAAGAGCTGAAAGTGGCTCCCCCGTAATGCTGCACTATATTTAGAACCTTTGTGTTTACTGAAGTGTTGTAAATGTTTATATAAATATGGTAGTGCAGCATCCAAAAGGCAGCAAAACCTTTAAATTGTGGGTGCAATAGTTTTTTTGTTAGGTTTTTTTTTTCATATAAAGTGTTGTGTTCTGTGCATCTTCTTGATTGTATATTGGAAATACTGTGCAACAACTAAATAGTATTATAAATATTTCAATTAACTTTACTAGAAGTTTGTTAAAGATTTTTGAACATTGAATTAACATTATTCCTTGAAATTCTTCTATAGATGATTAAAAAAAAAATGGCCATTAGGTTTACTTCCACCCTCGATTTGTATATTTTAGCTTATGCATTATGTATCTCAAATTTGATACCTTTCTGCAAACAGCATCATAATTCTTATCATGGAAAGTGTACTGTATATAATTTGTGCCATGTAAATGCAAAAGTTATAATTTCCCTCCAAATAAAAGTTCTGTCACAGAAAATATTACTGTGGTGTTTTTTATGGTCATGCGGCTGAATATTGCTACAATTAATTTTTTTTCTGAAGTTTGCCGCTATTGGCAAGCATTTGTACTTTATTGGCAAGCATTTGTACTTTCTTTGCGGTTGATCCCAAAATTACTTTTGCCAACAACAGTGAATTTATTCTTTGTACTTTTTCAATAACAGTGATTTTTTTCTTGTAGACCTGTGCAAACTTTAAGGAACTGTAAGGGACAAATGTGTTCAACTAGCTGAAAATGGATATGAAAGTCCTTACAAATAGTCAGGGCCAAAAAAGCATCACTGAAGGTATTTGATTAGGCAAAGAGGAGAGTGACAAGTCCACAGGTGAAATGATTTGGCAAGCACCAAGCAGTTACAAAAGGAGCAGGTATCCTTCCACGCTCAGCTCATTTGTTCAAAGGTGAAAAGTCCATTTTAGCTAGTAATGAAAAAAGCCTTGGCCAAAGAGCTCTTGGTGTTCCTTAGGACACAAGCATTCTCCCTGGAGAAAAAGTACGAAGGAAAGCATAGAGAAGGGCAAACTGAAAATGGAGATCAAAAAGAGGTCAGAAGGAGTGGGAGAGTGATGCAGAAGTGGTGGGACAGAAGCACCACCATGAACACCACATTAAACACCGCTGCGCAGGCTGCCTGCCAGGATCGGCCCCTGAGCAAGCGCTGCAAGGATTCTCCTCGAGGTTGAGAGAGCCCTTGCTGGCGACAGACCCTTGATAAGTGTCTAACAGCTAAAACTTGGTCAGCTTTGCTAAGTTCTCTCTCTGGATTAATTGCGCACGTAAGCCGGTGCACATAAACTGCTGGCAAAGATTGGATCCAGCGGGGGCGGGGGTCTGTTCTGAACACCGTGACTCAACAGGAGGATCTCCTGGGCAGTTTTGTCTGACCTCAATGCAGTAACAGTGTACTTCGCCTCCGAATCCTGTTAAACCACTCTCCCATTCTGCTTATTACTACTACTACAAGTGACGTGAATCTCATTCTGCAAGTTGGGATCACATCCTCATTCTGGTTTATAAAGCAGCTCTGCAAAGGGTTGTGCTGACACACTGTGAGGTGGACGAGGGAAGAGCAAGCGGGAGCGGAAAGAAGGCTGTGTAATCTCATTTTGCCAGTTCAGACCTGCTCAGATAATTGAGGTGAGCAGTGTTATTGAGCTTAGTGTAAGGTTAGCTGTCATCTGTCTCCTGAAGGCAGTATAAAGCTGACCTTAAATTTTGTACTGTGAGCCTTGATAACTAAAGTGGGAAAGCCATCCTGTGACCAGGGCCAAAAGATTATACTTGTCTTTCTGGCTTATTATTCAAAGACCCAAATTAAACCTTTTTGAATGACAGAAGTCTTTTTAATCTTTTTTTTTTTTTCCTTTTATTTGTACTGTCAAAAGACTGGCATGTTTACACATTGTATGTTTTGGAAGAAGAAAGCCCATGAGAGTAAGAAATGTACTTGCTACAAACATCTTCCTTAAAAAGGGTAGTGTGGCTCTAGGTGAAATCAGTCCTGACCGCAGTTCCTGGACTCTCTTCTCATCTTCGTTCAATGTTTAGAACTGTTGCATGCTGCACGCATGTTGCTAGATACAACATTTTCGTGTTTGCTTCCGAGACTGTTGTGCTGGGTCCCAGGCAGTTTGCAATGAGATTAACATGAGGATGATTAGGGCAGAAGCCTGTGGGAGATTTTTGAGCTTCCTCTGTGGTTAAGGCACAGGACTAGGAGTCAGGAGATCAAAGTTACTACTTGGTACAGAAATGGTATTTTCTCACATAGGCTCCATTGATAAAAATGATCTTGCAAGAGTACTTCACATATTTCTTTGATGCTTTGCTCTTGCCTGCTTTCCAGCTACTTGTAGGAAAGAAAACCATTGCAAACCCTGACCGTTCCTTATATTGACATGGGCGATCTTGGGACACTTTCCTGAGTTGCCAATGATTTGTTCAGATGTCATTGCAAATTGCTGTTCTGAATTCCTGAGGCTCTCATTTGTTGCCTGAAGATGATGGCAGCTCATGCTACTAATGTAACTGTGCTACTGCTGGGTGCTGAGGAGTTGCAAGGTATCTGTTCCAGGTTAGGCATCACCAAACCTGAAAAGCCAAGTTGAGAAGATGAACAGAGACTGTTTTAAGAAAGGGTACACATCTCTGTGGGTGACCAATGTATGGACAGTAAAGAGGAAATACTTCGGAAGACAAAGAAGAAAAGAAGACTAAAGATGGTGCAGAGGTGCCCTTGTTTTTTTGGTGCCTCCTTGTTTAGGTTAGAGATAGAAGTAGTCATAAAGCTTATTGGAATCCTCCATGAAGATGCCACCACAGATTGCAGTTTACAGATTTGAGCAGTGGATATAGTGATGCAGATATGGCCTTTTAATATCCATACAGCATATTTTACAGTACTTTATAATAGTGGGAACAGTTTTTTTTTTTTTAAATGTCCCCTTGGTATTGCAAAAATCTTAAAACCATGTATTTGCCTTCTGAAGTGGGTATGCCACTTTCAAAGCTAATTGGTTTGTGATGGCAAAGCCACTTGCTGCCCTTTTCTATAGCTGTGTATCAAGCAGGCATTCTTCTGAAGATAACTTCTAAGGAGTTCTGGGATTTTTGCATAATGGAGGGTTTATTTGATGAGCTAAGAACTGTCAGGAAATGAAATGATGCTTTTCTGCTACTGAAATGGACTTTGCATTTTCAGCAATAAGCTGTTCTTGGGATCCTGGGTGAAGAGGTCCAGTCTTTAGAGATAATACTTTGCATGTCACTAAGAAATGAGGAATCACCTGTGGTTACTTGAGAATGTCCCCTGTGTTGGTGCAGAGTTGGCTCCCTTTTAGTTTGGCTTTTGGTCTTACTGGACTTACAATGGTGAATAGAGCTTTATTAAGTTGTTAGTCTTTATAATACTTAAGTCTTCTGTTATAGGATGCTGGAACCTTTGAAGATGGGAAAAGCCCAGATCACCTGTGAGTAGTTGCCTCTTGAAGAGACGCAATGGAAAGTATGAGGCTAGTACCAAAAACCATATAGCAGATAGAAAAAGAGAAGCAGCAGAAAGGAGCCACTAGGTCTTACTGGAACTTCAAATATGATGTGAAGCTAATGTGAAATATCTTTGCTATTCCCAGTGACAGAATGCACCTTTTCCCTGGAAAATGGAAGTTCAGAAATGGGAACTGTGAAGCAAGTTGAAACAGTGATTTGCAAAATACACCTCTCCTACTCATATCTGATGTATAGATGAAGGTTATAGTGAGATGTTCTCAAATGATAGTTTTCCAGAGATAGCTACACTTTAAAATTGGGTGAAAGAAGAAAATCTTTTGACTTTTTTGGCAAATGTTAAAACCTGCAGGGAAGAGGGATGTTTCAACTCAACCAGACTAGCATGCAATTCCATGAACACAGGCTTGTACATGTTAGGAAATGTGTAATAAGGAGCAGTTATGTATAAAGTATATATGTATAAACTGTACATATACACGTACAGAAAAAATGGGAAAGAGAATTCTGATGAGGAAAAAAAATTATGAACCACTACTAAACTTCCATTGAAAATCATAGCAGTTAAATACCTTCTTTTATGAAAATTAGTAAACTTCCCAGTTTGACTAAGCTTTCCCATTTGCTGTTCTGCCTGAGTTGCAGACAGAGTGACCGCATACACCCATTTAATGCTCAGGTTTGTCTCTGCAGGGGCACACCAGCATCACTAGCCTGGAATGACTATTTCCTTTGATCTATTCTAGATCAGTTCTGGGTGGGGAATTAGAAAGCTGACACGATCTGAATTAGATGCAGAAGCTGGAATAGGTGTAAAAAGAGAATTCAGAATTGCTCAGAATTTCTTCTTCTACTATCTATAAAAGATAAACAGATTTATCTTTATAATTGCCTCAGCTGAGTTGTGATTAACCCTAAAGATATGGGATGACTTTTAAAGAGGAAGCTGCCCTTGTGCAGTGAGTACTGTCTCATGCCTCTTGACGTATATGCTCATGCCTAAAAGGGTGTTTGCTCTCATAATTATGCCTTCTTAGAGAGAGACTTAATGGTCCAAATAGCCCTCCACGAACCACCCAGATGCCTCTCCTGTCCTTGTGCCCCGACGCGGGGTGTTATCTGGCGGACGGCTCGCTGACCTGTGGGCTGCGCGGTGTTTGGTGCGCAGGCCGCCGCGGCAGGTAGTCAATGGCGCCATTCAGGGCCCCGAGCCCAAAGGGCGCCGTTGTGATCCGCACCCCTCCCCGGCCAGATCCCATGACCTGCTGCATGGAGTGTTTCACAATGGATTGAGCAAAAGATAAGAGGGCTGGGATGTGTCCAAGCCATCTGCTCGCCAGCAGCACGCTGCAGGGCGGGCGCAGAGGTTCACGAGCGCTGTCGTCTTCCCTGCGGGCCCTCCTGCTGCTGGCAAGGCAAGGACTCCTGCGGTGAGCTGCCCAGTGTGATGAGAGCTATAGCCTGGTATCAAATACCTGGAAGCCTCTGGCAGCAGTGATGAACAAACCTACCCTGGGCTCTGTCATGCAGGAGTGAATGACAAGGCAAGCAATACTGCTGGGGCCTTGCTCTAAAAGATCCCTGGATTGGCTTTCAAAGATGCATTGCTTCTCTTTTCCTTGCTATAGCGCTGACCGGATTGCCTGTTCATTCCCTTATATTACACAAGGCCAAACCTTTCATTCAAGTTCACTTGTTAATTGGCTTTTTGTTCAGCCCTGACCTACTTCAGCATCGGCTTTCCAGATGTTCATTTCAGAGTGACAAATTGGCATCTAAGCTCTGACTTGCCTCTGGAAAGCCTGTCTTGCTATTCAGTAGCAAGGCAGAGGAAATCAGTCACTTGTCACACTCACTGTAGCTGCAAAGTTTTCAGGTATAAATCTAAGTCAGACTCCTGCCCCTCCTCCCTCTCCATATCTTTTACGCTCATACTTTCTCTTCTAGAGAGCTCAAAGCCACTCTTTTCC